TTGTATTATGGATTAGGGTTCCGGCAGAATGCCCTCAAGGGAATATTTATGTTTGAAGATTCCCTCACGATACAAAGTGACCCTCACTCCACCGCTCTCCTGGGTCCTGCATTAAAGGTACGGTACCGCGTTATCATACAACGCTCATTCCCCACGGCGCGGCTGTATCGGAATTGGTCTCATGGGCCCTCCCCTAGAGGACAAAAAATTCAAGATATCTTATCCACGGAGGCAGGATACTGTTTTGCGACAAATGGTGGGATAAGATATCCTGCTGTAGGTGTATGAGCAATCCCGTCAGGAGCGATGTGCTATCTTAACTATTGGGTACGACCCTTCGATTTGCTGGATAAGTTATCCTTTTTCACCGGGATATGATAAGATATCCCCAGTTAAGGAGAGATATTTCATGGAAGTGGGCATGTTCTGACTGGTAGGGAATATCCTACCCTTCGTAGGGGATACCATCAAGAACTTAAATTTAAAAAATGTAGATTAGCGGAATCGAACTTACACATTGGCGATTGCATCTAGTGGATGCTACCAACTATGCCAGTGGTTCAGATACAGACCTAGTACAAATTACCACTATCAAGCTCAGGTTTAAAAATTCGACAGCCAAAAAAAAAACCGAATTTGTCTAAGTCCAAAATTGCTAGGGATGCGAAATACTACCAGCAGGAGAACACTTTATTCTATGTAAAAGTCCGTATCCCTATGATGGGATATTAGATTATATCCATAGGAAAGGATATATATCCACGGGAAAAGATAACCTATCCTGAAACCTGTATCTTTAGGTAAAGATAACCTGAAACCTGTATCTTTTGGCGGGGATAATTAGAGCAAAATCTCCTGCTTTAGCTATCATTGACACGTGATATCCCCAAATTCGGGATATGCTATCCCAAAACGCCCAAATGTCTCAAAGTTATCCTCCCACAGGATAACCTATCCGGATTTCGGGATATCACATCCCAATCCCTAAGAAAGTTTGTACCCTAGGGCCTCCTGGGCCGGGACAGGCCCATTATTGCAATATGGGACGAGCGGGACCGCAGCTAAGCTATCGAAGTGCCAGGTACTCTCATTAAAAACTCTGATTAACCCAAGCATTAAGCTTTAGTGTAACGAGGAAATAGTATTAAGCCATATCGAAATCACCAGTCCACTGAGAAATCAAGTGTTCTGGGCACATAGGTTTAGTTTGAAAGCATCACCAGAAAATGCAATAAGTTAGGCCTTGATATCGGAAAGACTCGGTATCTGGCTTCCATAGGCGTTGAATCGGACTTGAAGAAATATGGCATATATACCGGTCATCTGGAGTTCCCATGCCTCCAATTTACCCCTAATTTTGCGCTCCCGCTTGGCTTTGTCGGGTTTTATAGCGGTACTGTAGTATCGATGATATCGATAAACAGTGATCATGACGCTGGGCAGACTCCCCCTATACCCGCCCAATCCTCCAGTACTTGTAAAGAAGGAGACGTAGCACTACCTTAAGTACCCACTGAAGGTACCGCCAACGGTACATCCAGCCTCAGTACCGGACCCCCACGTACCCATCCTCAACACAAAACTTTTTTGCACTCTCGGAAGGGCCTAGTTCAGTGAGTGAAGTAATCAAAGTGCTACTATCTACTCTATATTACGAATTAACGCAGTGGCAGATGGCCTTCACAGGATCATAGCATCCGACTCTCCGTTTCCCGACGGCAGAGGACATCATTGAGATATCCAGGATCTTGATACGTGTTTTTTTTTTAGTCCTTTCATCGACACACGAGAGAACACAAACAAAACAGATCTGAAGAAAACATTCGATTTGATGAGGAGATGTATTGGGATGTCGATTCTAGCTGTCTTTAGCGTTCCATGCTTTACTCAGGCGGGAGTGAGGAGGTTGCCGTGGGAGAGAATTGTTCACCCGGGCTCGGCGCCGGGGCGGAGACTTGATGTGATATAAGGTGCCTGGCGCAGAACATAGGGTCGGGCATCTCTCTCCAGTTCCGATATAGGTGTTGAAAGTCGTTCCTCAGACCCAGATGGAAGATTTCCTTGGCGAACATGTATTATATCCCAGCAATGCTCCCTCTCCGGCGATTCTAGGTACTACCAACAAGTCCAACTCGATTATGAAGCAAACCACTGCGTTATTATTACTGTTGAAAATACGTAGAATCAGATATATCAAATTAATAACAAAATAGCAGGGCTAGGGTTAGGTGTGCCAAGAACATGCCAAGAACATGCCAAGGAGCGCCTTCGTCAAAGCATGCACGTCGGCTATCGCTGGAGTTTCTAGAGAGCCAGAGAAGCTCGGAACACCAATATTCCGCATAGCGCATATACTTGTATGTATACACCTCGCTTTAGTCGCGTGAATTGTCAAAGGAGCACTGCATCCAGGAACACTTCTTTTCACCAGGGGCCTGCTAGGTTCATAATATATCACTCGATCGAGTGATAGATGATGATTCGCTTTTCTGCGTATCGGGCTGAGTGTGCATAGAGGGTGCAGAGGGCAGAGATGGCGCAGGAGGCACAGAAGGCTCAGAGTTCGGGGGGGAGGAGGGTGCTGGGTACATATGTTTCTTTGAGGTTTGGTCTTTGAGCGACGTCTAAGGGCGCGTGGGATGTCTACCTAAGCGTACACGTACGGTATAGAGCCCATTATAGAGAGTGGGGTACTTACTTGTATGTAGGGAGCTTACGCGCGAGTTATCGCTTTGTATGGGAGGGCCGGGTTAGATCATATTTGTACCTCTCCCGCTGCCCTCGGTCTGTTATGAGCGTCCACGGCTGACTGAGCGCGTGCTGGTTGACGAATGGATTCAGCCCCTCCATGCAATTGCAAGTACTATTTGTAGCTCCGGCCCTAGATTATCCTACTTCGCTATATAAGTTATAGGAACCGCCGTCGTGATATATATACGTTAATTAAGCGGTTGACCGCTCTTTACTGATGCTATCAGTGTTCGAACGTTTTCTGTCGATCGAACTTCCAACTATCGCTATACGACAGTCCCGGAAGCATATATGGGTGGGAATGTATACCAGAAATCACGAGTTTATAGGAGTGGTTTAATTTCTCTCTACCAGCCATGGAAACGAATCATTTGATTCGTTTCCCACCAAGCGAAATTTTGGAACGAATCAATTGATTCATTTCCCTGGGATGCTTGTGGAAAAGGCATAAAAGATTCATTTCCAAAGCCGAAAATCCCTTTCCTTGATTCATTTCCGCTTACGTACTACCTATTCTGGACAAGAGTGCGTCATCATCCTAACATGTCTTTTCTGATGCCTTTTCCTATGCCTTTTCTTATCCCTTTTCCGCTGCTGCACCGGGGACCAGAAATGTATTTCCTAGCATCAATAACCCAAAGGTACAGAGCTTAATATATCAATCAATAGCGTAGGTGATAAGATGTGGACTGTCTAAACGCAATCCCACAGGTTCAAACCTGAGTCTTTTTTATTTTTATTTGTTAAGTATAAACCTATATATAATTTCGGATTATAGGTAATGTGTTTATAAAAGTAACATATGAGGCTTAAGATTCATTTCGGGATTCATTTCCCCATTGTAAAAATATTCATTTCCTTGGTCACTTAATAAACACATTTCCGATGATTCGTTTTACACCAAAGTTTTACGTGAGTATAAGATTCATTTTTTGATTCATTTCAATAGTTGGTAGAGCTATCGACCTCCCCCGACTTCTCTTTTCTTCTCTTTTCTTTTCTTTTCTTTTCTTTTGTTCATTAGTTGCATGGATCCTGCTTCCCCGACTTGTTATTACTATCAATTCTATCTTATGCCCGTTATCAACCATCCCCTCGCACGTGCACCCGCGCCATATTAGCGTTGAGGTTTTACAAATCACTGTTACCACTACCACCTCTTTATCGAAACATCCCCAAGCTCACGCTCCACTTCCAAACGTCGCCGGTACACCATGGCCACGATGTGTGAGGCACCGAATGGTAGCTGTCTCTCGGCCGCACAAGTTCTCCCGGATCGAACGCTGCCGGACCCCACATATAGATACGGCATCGAATGCATATGATTGACTTCTGGTGTCTGTAGGACTCGAGATAAATATATCGATGCACCGGGACGCCATGACGTAAAAGGAATCGAATATGATACATAATTGCTGGCACCCATAAGACTTGAGTCCGATCCCGGAACCCCGCCATGTGATTGACTGGTATATATAAGGTGCTAAATGGCGCTAAAATAATCCCGGAATGACATTGTTACATGGGGTATCGAATGGCTGATATTTGGGGTCTATGGAACTCAAGACGGACACTCCAGTTTTCAGAAGCTTCCTCGGTATATAAGGCGTCGAATGACTAAGGAGGTTGAGGTGTCGTCAGATCGAGGACCGGTTGCTGGAGGAGGACGGAGGAGCCGGAGCTCGACGAAGGTGTTTGTATAAGTACTAGTACAGCGATAGGTAATAAGTGATGGAACGCCCTGAGAGTACAAACACCAAATATTGGTGGCGTTTTACCAAAACAGGTATCGCTGTGTTCCATCACTTATTACCTACCGCTGTACTTGAATAGCGGGGTGATAGGGAGTTTTAACATCAGCTACTATCGTAGAATCGTCACGCAGGGATTTGAGATCGGCTTCTATCTGCCGCGCTGTGATACGAAAGACCTCCGTAAGATTATAGAACGGCGTTTAGATTTTAAGTAGCTCTTAACGTTTTTGGAAATAGAGAATATTGTGCGCTTGCAATTTAGCCGATATAGATAGAAAAATGAATAGTAAGCAAGAGTTTGCAACTTTCCGAAGGTAACATAACCCCAATCCCCATACATAAATGACGTGGTGTGTGAGTATAAAATAACAGATGTATAATCCAGATATGAAATCCAACCCTCTCATCTGCCAAAAAGGAAACCTATGCTCACCCCCTGTCCCTTAGAGTCACTCCAGAACATAAAATACATGGAATGATGTTCGTGAATGGTAACTATTCCACCTTCAGACCCATCCGAGGTTCCAGCAGCTTGATAACTTCCTCATAGCCATAAGACCTGGCATAATCCAGCGCAGAATCCCCACTGTTGTGTAAAATGCTGAGATCAACCCCATCAACATCCAGCAACATTGCAACAAATTTTGCATGTCCTCTAGCAGCAGCACGTACTATAGGTGTCGATCCATACTCATTTCGGTGATTTATGTCGTATATTCCCCTATCAAGGATCATCTGTAGGATTTTTGTATTTCCACTCTCCGCCGCGCACGAAAGAACTGGGTTTTGGTCGTGAGTCATCTCCTGGAGTTGATCCGCCTCGTATCGTTCGAATAGACATTGAAAGACTTCATCGTTACCCAGTTGGGCGGAGGTAAGTAGTGGTGTAGAACAGTCCATACCGCGATTCCTAATGTCTATCTGGGGGTGTTCAAGGAGTGACTTTACCATCTCGATGTATCCATGGTGTGATGCGTGCCACAACGCACATCTCCCGTCTGAGTCGGTTAGGTTGACCTTGACCTCTTTCTGCTCTAGTAGCACCTGAACCACTTGAGTATGTCCGTTTTCTGCTGCACATAGGAGGGCAGATCTCCCTCGGCTGTCGACGAGATTGATATCAGTCCCGCCCATCGACTTCAATAGCATCTGAGCCGTTTCCGTGTGTCCATTTTCCGCCGCACGTAGGAGCGCAGATCGCCCTCGATAGTCGACTAAAGTGGTATCGATCTCATCCATTTTCAGAAGTATCTCAACAACTTCTGTGCGTCCATTTTCTGCCGCAAACAGGAGCGCAGATCTCTTTTCGGAGTCGACGAGGTTGATATTGATCTCTTTCTTCTCCAGTAGCATTTCAAGCACTCCAATGTGTCCCTTTTCTACCGCAAGTATGAGCGCAGATGTACCTCCGTAGTCGGCTCGGTTGATATCGATCCCATCCATCTTCAATAGCATCTGAACAATTTCAGCGAGTCCATACTTTACTGCACCGAAGAGCGCAGATCTTCCCCAATAGTCGACTAAGCTGATATCGATCCCATCCATCTTCAAAAGCATGTGGAGAACTTCAGCGTTTCCATTTTCAGCCGCAAACAGGAGCGCAGACCTCTTATCGGAGTCGACGAGGTTGATATTGATCTCTTTCTTCTCCAGTAGCACCCCCACCACTTCAGTGTGTCCCTTTTCTGCCGCAAGTATGAGCGCAGATGTACCTCTGGAGTCGACTAGGTTGATATCTATCCCATCCATCTTCAATAGCGTCCGAACAATTTCAGCGAGTCCATACTGTGCTGCACCAAAGAGCGCAGATCTCCCCAAATAGTTGACTCGCGTGATATCAATCCCATCTATCTTCAAAAGCATGTGGAGGACTTCAGCGTTTCCATTTTGAGCCGCACACAGGAGCGCAGACCTCTTATCGGAGTCGACGAGGTTGACATCGATCTCTTTCTTCTCCAGTAGCATTTTAATGACTTCAGTGTGTCCATTTTCTACCGCAAGTATGAGCGCAGATGTACCTATGGAGTCGACTAGGTTGATATCTATCCCATCCATCTTCAATAGCGTCCGAACAATTTCAGCGAGTCCGTACTGTGCTGCACCAAAGAGCGCAGATCTCCCCAAATAGTTGACTGGGGTGGTATCAATCCCATCCATCTTCAAAAGCATCTGAAGTACTGCAGTGCGTGCATTTTCAGCCGCACACACGAGCGCAGATCTCTTTCCGGGGTCGACGAGGTTGATATCGATCTCCTTCTTCTCTAGTAGCATCCCAACCACCTCAGTGTATCCATTTTCTACTGCATATATGAGAGCAGATGTACCTTGGGAGTCGACTAAGTTGATATTGATCTCATTCTTCCCTAGCAGCATCTGAACTATCTGAGCATGTCCATATTTTGACGCACGTAGGAGCGCAGATCTCCCTTGAGAGTCCACTTGGTTGATATCAATCCCCTTCCCCTCCAGTAGCATCTGAGCTATTTGAGGATGTCCATCTTCTGCCGCATGTAGGAGCGCATTTGTCCCATTAGAGTCGGCTAGATTGGCGTCGGCCCCCTTCTCCAATAGCGCCTGTACCACTCCAGTGTGTCCACGCATTGCAGCATAAAGGAGTGCAGATCTCGCTTGAGAGTCCACTTGGTTAATATCGATCCGCTTTTTCTCCAGTAGCATCTGAACTATTTGAGCCTTTCCATCTTCTGCCGCACGTAGGAGCGCAGATGTCCCTCCAGAGTCCACTTGGTTGATATCGATCCCCTTCTTCTCCAGTAGAGTCTGTATCACTCCAGTTTGTCCCCATATTACCGCACAGAGGAGGGCAGATCTACCTCGTGGGTCGACCATGTTGACATCGATTGCCTCTTCCCTCAGTAATACCGTAACCGCTTCCTTGTGTCCTTCCACAGCAGCCTCTATTAGTGCAGTCCTGCCAGCGCCGTTTGTATGGTTGATGTTGCATCCATGGGCTAACAGAAATTGCATAACTTTTATGTTGTTGGAAGATGCGGCGGATATCAGGGATATAAACCTCTTGCCACCCACTTCTTTAGCAGCCTCTAACGTTGGATAACTCTTCAAGATAAGATCCAGGATCTTGTCATTCGTACATTCAAATACCCATTGCGGCAATGCCGTACCGGAATGAGCGGGGAGTTTGATTTCTATGTTGCGGTACTCCACGAGGGCATCAATCGCACTGGTGTGGCCCTTGAGGATTGCAAGAGACAGTGCGGATTCGCCTTCATCATCGACTGCGTTGACCTCGATTGCAGGCTTCTTTAGGAGTGTTTGAACAGTGTTGGTTAACCCATTTGCGGCAGCTACCATTAGTTCGGTTTTGCCGGACTCATCTCTCTGATTGATATCATATCCCTTCTCCTTCTGATCATGTATCAATTGCATGATTTGTTCGTCATCGGATTCTACGGCGCCTAGAAATTGGGTGACCCTATCTTGCGGCTGTGCTTTGTCGTAGTGTGCAATTAGAGCCTTAAAGACATCAAGATATCTGTGATTTGCGGCGATGATTAGTGGCGTTTGACCTCCCTGATTAGCTGTGCTTGCATTCGCTCCATGCGCTAAGAGTTCCGAAACCATATCCGCACGCCCGCGTTCAGTAGCAAATTGAAGCAAAGTGCCATCCCCACTATCCTTGCATTCGATGTCGACACCGGGAAATGCTACAATGTATCTGAAAGCGTCCAAGGCGTTGTAGCGGACGGCATTATACAGGGCAGTCCAGCCATTAATCCCTCGACGATTGATGTCCAGATCATCCACTCGCGCTACCAACAGTTTTACCAGCCAGGCCTTGTTGCTGTCTGCAGCCTTTATAAACATATTGTCCTCTCCAAGACCACAGTTGATGTCAACCCGCTCATCTTGTATCAATCTTTCGGCAATCTTTTGTTGATCACGCCCGGTCGCAATCAAAAGCGGTGTTTCCGATTGGTGATTCCTCAGATTTGGGTCAAGAGCAGGGCCGCTGCTGATTTGAAAGCTTAGCAGCTTTTCCATAATCGCTATATTGCTATCGGCTTGAGCAGCAAGCGAGAGTGCGGTGCTTCCATCCTGGGTTTGTAAGTTGATATTGAGAGAAGATACCCGCAAGAGTAAATCTAAAATTCTCTGGTGCCCTTTCAATGTAGCGTGGTGTAAGGCGGTATAGCCTTCTGTATCTGCAACATTCACATCACACTTTGCCGAATCTAGTAACAGCTGTACTATCTTGTCGCTACCAATCAAGGAGGCATGCATCAATGCCGTCCTTCCATCTTGATCGACCATATCAATCTTAAGCCCCGAGTGCTTCAATAGGGTCTCAACGACACCTACTTGATTCGAAATTATCGCGAGCAGGAGCGGTGTACGTTTCATGTCATCTTCGGCGTTGACGTCAATATCTTTATGTTGGACCAAATGCTTAACAAATTCCATATAGCCATGTTCTGCGCAGTGATGCAACGGGGTACGTCCAGCAGCATTAACGCAGCCCGCACCAATCGTTTCCAGATTTCTTTTGAGTGTGTTTAACAGACGATAATAACATGCCACCCATACTAGATCGACGCAACACCCCGGGGTCTCTTTCATGCGTAGGACAGGTACGGTTTCGATGGCCTTAGATGACCAGGCTTTATAGGAGGAGGATGACGACTTGAGGAAGTCCTGGCACGAGTCTCGCGACTCACAGTGGCGGACATGGTTCCCCCAATTACGAGTTGCATAGTTGATAAAAGCCTGGCCTGAGGTATCATCGGTACATTCCTCATCAATTCGATAATTAGAGGTGGAAAGAATTCTGAGACATATATCGGACATGAATTCGTGCCCTCCGCTGATGCATGAACCAGGTCCATTAAGGATTTCCAGGTACTCCTTTACGGTAGCATGCGAAAATCGAAGCACTCCAGTTTTCTCGTCGTGGATGACGAGTCCGCAACAAATATTCTGGGCATTCCTTACATTCCGCGCTTTCGGCTTGGTGTTGCCGCTTCCTTTCCCTGGTGCAGAGTGGCGCAGAGCTTCGAGAATGGTGTCGGCTGAAAAATCGTCGACCGCATAAAAAAGCCACTTCAATATCTCATGCGCACATGTAGAATCTGTGTCGCTCTGCCTGCTGATCCTGTCTAATATATCGGTGTAGACCGTGTTCAGCGACTTGGGGAAGTCTTTAATAGCCTTTTGCATACCGTGAAGTGTTGTCTCCATGCGCAGGGCTTTCATTCGAAGATGGACAGAGAGAAACCTATATTGAATGTAAGCGACAATAATTTTAGTGGGTGTACTCTATATACATACATTCCATTTGCATTTTCTTTCAATGACCGAATGTTTTCTTCCTCAAGCTTTTTGAACTGGGTGATAAGTTCAGGCCCTACTTCGTGTGAAATGAGGTCGTCATATAAACCCTTTAGTTCGCTCTTTATATATAGTTCTATATCAGAAGCGTTGTCGCTAGGGTCAATAAGATAATTCTCGTGTCGTTGCATCATATAACCTCTGATATCAGCCTCATCGCGGCCCGTAAGAAAAACTCGGATATCCTTGCCGCCAGTTACGATTTTGTCCAAAGAACAAAATAGATTTTTCCGTGTGTTGCCATCGCATTCGTCCAGTGCATCGATGACAATCCATACCCCCGATGATAGATAGTTGGAAAGCTCTATAATAAGATCCGCACACTCCTCCAAACTCGGCAGCCCTGCTGACTCTCGAACCCTTTTATCTTTGATCTCGACCAGCTTTTTGGGTAGTTTCAGTTTCCCCCCGGAATATTCATGACAGAGTTGCTTTGTAATTGCTCGTAGCACTGATTCAGGCAGGATTCGGTCCGGAGATGTAATACTGCAGTAAAAGTAGGCTAAAGACCGGTTCCTTTTGTATTCATGACCGAGCAGGCCAATTATGGAGGAACTGTTAAGGACGTTAGGCAACCTCAACGGAGATCACAGGAATCGCAGATGTAAATAAGGAGGTCTTACGCCAGAATTGTTTTCCCGGTGCCGGCTGGTGAGCGAATTAGTCTAATTCTTTGGGCATTGGTGAATATCTTGTACTGATTATATCATACCTGCACCACGTAACCAGAGAACGGCCGAAGATGACCGGCAATTAACCCACTCTTGAAATATGCTGTTTCGTTCAAGCCAAAGACATGTATCTGCAGTACGCTTTGCTTTGTGCTCTTCATGAATCTTGCCATATTGAATATTGCACACCCAGTCGAGCGTATTATGGAAAATGGTTTCTTCACGATTAGCAAAAACCCCTGTTAGCTGAGCTAAAAAGTACTTATCACTTACCATCAGCAACCTTACAAAGTTTGGAAAGTTTTGTATTGCACTCATTGACAGCACTCTTGACATTTTCCAAGTGCTCCCTAATATACTTCAAATTGCGTCGTGACACTTCCTGCTCTGCGTTTCGTGCAAAGATATTAGAATATCCCCAAAACTGAAAGGAGCAGGGGTATATATACTAGATCGCTCCGCGTTGGCCGCTTTCATTATGAGTTAGCAGGATAAGATTTATGTGTCATAGCGGGGGTCCTCACCTTCTTTCTCGGCCATGTCTGAACGCTCTTTTATCATCTTTTCTGAATCTCGTATGCTCTCCAGCAGTTGAGACAGTTGTGGTGACAGGCTTTCAAAAATACGCTCTAACCGATTGAAAACCAGTTATCACATGAGTTATAATGATAGTAAAACGAACGTGGTGTTCTGTACCTGTTTTGCTCCCTTTAAGATGCTCGTTGGCATATGATAGATATGTTAAAATTGAGACGTATTGAGTCACCAAGCAATCTCGTATCTCTTCGGAACACTTGGTGTCTACTTTCACATAAAGGTCCTCGTAAAGAGCACCGCAGCATATGATCCATGCAAGGTATCCAACGCTGTTTAAGATCATCGCAAGATTATCGACATATGAAGTCCCTACCTTTATGCCGACAGTAAGAATTCAGACAGTGATTTTTTTTTTTTTTTTTTTTTTTTTTTGGGGGGGGGGGGGGGGGGAGACAGGTAAAATAACATACTTGTAACAGAAGCCTGAATCCTGACCATACCAAGGCAACGACATCTGGATGATGCTGTAATGCAATATCCCCAATAGAGGCGTAGTTATTAAGCTCTCTAAAAATTACATCCGACACAGGCACCTCTTCTCCTTGCCTATTCCTATAACAAATCCGCTGGGTCTCGATTATTGTACGACGATTTTCTACCTCTTCAAGGAGCCTTTGAACTGGCCTGACACCCCTCTCAAAATCGGTTAATCCTTCGATTTCTGCCTTCTTTTTGAGGCGTTCAATTGCTTCGCCCCATAGCCTCGAGTTCCTACACAACGGCCCTGTGAGTCAGTTCAAAAGTAAATGTACGAATTGTTAATACTCTAGTTGAGCCTTACTTAGCTTTTTCGGTATCTACAACTTCAGGGGAAGATACCAGACAATAGCGCTCGATCGTACCGATTTCATCCTCTGGGTTTGTGAGTAGATCACCGTCGCCGACGCCCGGGACTTCATGTTCCAGCTGGGGAGTCTCCCGCTCCATCTCGAGGCTTGAGGAATGAGCGGCATAGCTTTGCTGGGAGGGCAGTATCGGCCTGTAACTAGCAGCATCGGCGGTATCAACAAGCCCGCTGGTAGATGCTGGATTAGAAAGAATCCAATGTAGCCGATCTGTAGTGAGCCAACCTAGGGATTTCAGATTCACGGAGAACATCTCCAGTATCCTGGTATGTTGTGTTCACTTGTTGCTGTAAAGTGTCAAGCGCTGAATTAGGTCGATCCGGCATAAATACCGAAGGTGGTCCCTGGGGGAGGTTTGTCCGAGAATGAGTAGCTTGGTATGTTGTATTAACATGCGCTTGATTAGGTTCATTCGGTAGATATATCAGAGGTGGGCCCTGGGGGAGGTTTGTCGGCCGAGAACCGCCGTCCCTGCTCTTCTTGGACCTCTTTTTGAGAACGCGCCGAATTTTGGATTGAACAGATCCCATATCTACCTCAAAGTTGTTGTATCAGAGATGTGTCGGGGATGAAGTATTGTGTGGGGTAAATAAAATACCCCGGCGGGATTTTGCCTTATAAGTACTTTTCACCTCACATATTGATTTGTGGCCAATCGCGCTAACCAGAGTTTCAGGCTGAGCTCACAAAGATGTTCAATGGCTCTTCGAGTAAGCGATTGGAGCTTCTTAATTCAAAAAACAACTAGTTTTCTTACCCGAGTGTAAATCTTCTCCTAGACCATACTGCTGGGGACCCTTTGTACCACCAACAGATCTCGGTTACATTGGATTTTGTGCGCAGTACATAAGGGCCGGTGAACATGCCTTGCAGTTGACATGTCAGTTTCTCTCTAATCGATCTTTAGAATATGCACCCTATGTAGAGTACTTCGAGTTGAGGAAGTTCCCCACCTACAGAGGCTTATTATTCGTACAGAGAAACCTATCATAATTCTACCAAACTTCTAGCGGTTAGAGGAAACGATACCTGCAGCTTGTTAGCAAATACCTCTCTATAAACTACATCCCTACGATAATTCCAGCAAAATTCGGCCACCGCAGGGGTGGAATTATGATAGGTTTTGCTGTATTGAGATCCAAGATGGTGCTGTGCAGGCGCATAATCATAATGCTGATCTCATCCCACGGTCCATATCTCGATTTTGACACCGGCTACATACCGATCCCTCAAAACCTCGGACTGATACAAATCCCGCAAGTGAAGAAGAGCCCCCAAATCCGCCAGCGTGTGAGTATCCTCACACACCGCGCTCCCTTGGGCTGGTGAGACATGCAGCTTCACCGACTCGTTAGGGAACTATATGCGGTGGCTAAGTGACTTTGCCTCTGTATAAATAATCATTTCCTTCATGGCGAAGTCACTCTGCCACACAAGGGATGGGTTATACCCTATTAAACGCGTTGAACGAACATTACTTCCCGATCTGCTTATCACAAGTTCCGGTCACGTGAGGCCGATAACTCGAGGAGGCTGTGGTGTTCGCCTACAAAACTTGCTTGATTATATACAGAAATGACCCTTAAATACTAAGATGGTTCAATTGTGGAGGAACTGTTGGTGACGGTTTGTGTTCGCGCTGGTTAGTGATCTGCTTAACCCTGACCCTGAAGCCTGAACCCGCAGTACCATGTTCACCTTTTTCTGTTGATATCCAGCACGTGAGTGACATCGTTAGTCGGGGCGTGAAGAGATTGGTTTTTCTTGAAAAGATGAGGCATCAATCAACGCGTTCATCTCGTGGGGCGGGACCTCGGCCTTGGGACGGTTAATGCATCCTAGGTGGGGTATTAACTATGAGATGCGTGCCCACTTTTATAATTATTACACGCTCCCATGCAGATTGGGTGCATTACCAAGTTGTAGCGAGGTCTTGTAATGGAGTAGAGATTTATAAGCTAGGTAGAGGTGTATAAAACTGCGGTGTGCATCTTTTGCAGGTAAGGTGTAGAACGTCCGGCCAACCGTGTAGTTGGAGAAATGACGGGGAGGGTACCCTACGTTACAATTTCGAAATGGTAAGCTACCTATTATATGGAGGATATCAGCCCACAGTCGCCTTTTAGCAGCGCTTGGAGATGAAATCCGAAACGGTTGTAGTTCTAATTGGATGAACAATAGCACTACAGCGATTAATTACACTATAATACCAGTTATTAACATTTAGGTACTTTAAAAAATACAGCAGGAATAATCCGGGTCGAACCTATATTATTGAAGATGTACAGCCGTGTTTGAAAAGTATTGGCACCTTCGAGCCAAACTCACGAGGCAGTCCTTTCTGCTTTTCAACCCCCATATTCGAGGCAACCGCCAGAGAGAGCTGCAATGTCTCTATTGCGGTCATACCTATTAATAAGTTGAGTATGCGCGAGTGCCATAGTTGTTAGTAGGCTACAATTCATGAACGACTCAATATAGTAGGGTGCCAGTACTTTTCGAACGCGGCTGTACATCTCATATTTCTGGTAAATTACCAGTAGCAAACCGTAACCCTAGGAACATACGTTCTAACAAAGGTACCTAAAATAATTTCAAGGACAAATTTCTTAGCCTACGAAAAGCTCGAATAGCTCGAGCTGTACTCGATTATTGGCAGGTCGAATTGAGTTGAGCAGCTGTTATCACGAGCCGATTCGAGCTTTTCTTCATGCCCGTCTCAAGCCAGCTCGTGGACCACACTAGATACAAACTTACCGTCAAGTGCTATCGAGCTTTCTTCATGACGCAGGCAAAACGTCGGCAAGTTTGTACTTTTAATCCCAGGTCTACACCTGAACCCTCCGACTATTGAGACCAGAAGACGATCATAAGTTATCACTCAGTCAGTAGCATCGTCGATCGATCTCACGGTCATATTGATTGGTTGATTGATAATTCATGGGCCACCGTCATAGGTCTGAAAAGACCATATTATTGAAGAGATATCCGATTTTTAGGCCAAATCATGACGGGTACAAAAGTAAATACTGGAGGATAATGATATCTTTCAGCTTGATCAGGGGAAGTGTTCGAAAACCGGTGTTTTTCGCTACTGATATATAGTGATAGGTTTCAGACTCTTCATACAAAGCCCCATACGACATGGATAAAATCAAAGGCGGGAGAGTGCCTCTATAGAGGGTGCAACAACCTCATTGGTCACGATAGTTATATATGACTTACATTATCGCAAATTCTTGTTACAACGGCGGTGATGCCACTAGGGAAGTTCCTGGCTGTTGGCCACGGGCCACTATTTATCCCGCTCCAAAGGTACTTGTATATGCACGTGTATTCTAGAATTCACATATAAATTTCTTCTCGCACTTGTGATTGATCTCTTACCGACTGAGTAGAGCTGGTACACGGGCCGTTGAGCCAGCAAACCTTCCCATCAACTCCGAGACTACCTCATCTTATCCTTTTATTAATCCTGAGATTGATACCTGCTATATTCCATCTGATTGATTGTGAGGGCGCTAGGTGTAGGGTTAGGTTTTAGCGAAACGTTTTCGATACATGGATTTATTATTTTATATTAGTATACTAGATATAATGTTTTCAATTGAGTTATCGAGCTCAGGTTCTCCCACCACGATAAAGACAAGAGTCTCCAGACAGTCTAGCCCGGTCCCTAGTACCTCTGCAAGCTCAACCTCTCCTGGTGCTCTCGAACCAGGGTTTTCCGTTTATATTCAGTTCCCATGGAGCACGGCTTCGATCAAGGGTGACACAAAGTATAGTGTGGCTAGTATGCGTATTACTAAGAGCCAAGAGGTCACGAGGTCACGTGGAGAGGCTACAACCGCGAAGGAAACATGATGTGGGCAATGACACTAAAATTTATACTGATCCGGTCTTATACGTATAATTTGGCTCTCTTTGTCCCGTTGGGCTCCTGTACGACCGTGTGATGGCCCATGTCTAATGGGATCCGGGGGTTTAGATGTATGTATCGAGTTCGTTACTAGGAAGCTATTTGTATATCCCGTCGTACCTGTTTGGGGAAATGGCCAGTGCTAAGCGATAATTCTGTAGCGTTTAAACTGATGATATTGTAAACCGGATTCCCTTGACTTGGTGGTTGATGATACCCTCAAGTCTTCGCAGAATCCTGCCCTATTTATACATGTTGGAACCTATACCAAGGCCCGCCTTCTAATACTAACTGATACAACGATAATAGAATAAGATAATACTCCCGAAGATAACCCAGATAGAAAAGCGCCCCCGCATAGTTCCGTCCTCCATTCTAATTCCGACACGTAATCTTGAACCTTGGAATTGCCAGTCATCGAGCTGGATTATACTATTGTGCTAGACTTCCTGTTACAGGAACTACGGAACACTGTTCTAGAGGCTTAGGACAATGAGGAATACGAGTGACGGGTTGTGATGCGAGGACGGTCGGGTAACGAAAGGACAAGCATAGAAAGGTATCGGGTAGTGTGGGAGCACGCGATGTTACCACACTAGTGTTATACTATTATGACGGCACGCTTACTATTGGGTGTCTCACCCGGAATAGAATAGGAAGCGGGGCTTACGGCTGTAGGCTGTTCTACTTAGGGAAGTAGGTCTAGGATAATAGTATGGTACAGCCCGATGACTGGCAATTGCAAGGTTCATGGTTACCTGTCGGAATTAGAATGGAGGACGGGACTATGCGGGGGCGCTTTTCTATCTGGGTTATCTTCGGGAACGTTATCTTATTCTATTATCGTTGTATCAGTTAGTATTAGAAAGCGGGCCTTGGCATAGGTTCCAACATGTATAAATATGGCTTGATTCTCCGAAGACTTGAGGGTATCATCAACCATCAAGTCAAGGGAATCCGGTTTACAATATCATCAGTTTAAACGCTACAGAATTATCGCTTAGCACTAGCCATTTTCCTTAACACTATATTGTACCTTATCCCTAACTTTACTCTTTACCTACCGCATATACTACCAGAAGTCTCGATAAGACAGCTACTCGCTTAAACCAATACTCTGAGTATTTTGCTTAGTGGCGGATAGTCACCGTGCTCTCAGTAGAAGAATAAGCGCTTAGTCTATTAGAAAAGATCAAGGTACTATATGCACCCCCGAGAGGCAACAGCAGCCATCAATAACTACCTTTGCGCTACATCCTTCATCGTTCGAAGAGGAAGCGCCGAACACCTATACTGCGGATATCTCCACTATACAGGTTTCTTCGCAGAAGCAGGAACTACCGCTACTTTCGAGGAACACGACCCCGAAATCCTCAACTACCCAGAACTCTTCCCGATCAAGATCACTCTCTCTCAACGATCTTTCGGACTTGCTCACCCGGCCCCCTGGTTCATTGCTCAACCCTGGTGCAGAAGGCATCCACAGCTCAAACTCGAGCAACTTAGCAATGTCAAGGGCTCATCAGCAACGGTCGGAGGAAGACTACAACATGGAGAGCTCAATCGCCTGGAGAGATCGAGGTATATTGGAAACCCAGGCGAAGAGGCGCC